CTGGGCAAAACTTCATTCAGGTGTTGAGGTACAAGAAGAACCACCTCTATAACTTTCCTTCACTATTCCCCATCTCCCAGAGTACAATGACGGTGACAAGTGACCAGGAAATGTGCAGACACCTCAGGGGAGGATTGGTGGTCTTCACATTTGCTTTCACAAGCACTGGTGGCTCCTGAGAGAATCTGGGAGGTTCGCACCCACCAAGATAAAGATGCAAAGATGCTTTTGTTGTTTCCATTTTATTCCCTACCAATTCCAAGGGTAAAAAAAGTTAAACAGAATTTGGTCCATTTTAAGTTTGTTTCCCATATAAACTTTTGGCATTTACTACCACGTTTATCTGTTGGCAATAACTTGCAGGCAACAGAAAAACAGTAAGCATCTGAGGAAACCCACAGGGAGATGGCTTGGGATGTACTCCTGATCGCTGGCTTTGTCACAATTTAAATATGACTGTGGCTCAGGATTTTTATTGGATATGTGAAACACTGCTGAGAAAATGAAAGAAACTTGGTGTTTCTTAGCTTCTTGGTGTTTCTTAGCATCATGAACCCCAGAACACACCTGGATGTTGCCTTAGCTCCTGCCACGCACGAGGGAAGCACTAGCACTAATCTGCTTATAATAGCAAAATAAAAATAGGAAAAAACCTAACTGCCCAATAATACAAGCTACATAATCAAAAGGGATTGATTATATAACTTGTATATATACTATATATAATCATTTATTTATCTATTACTACACATAATGCTATTTAAAATGATAATATGTATAACTGTTTACTGCTATACAAAAACATTTATATATGTTAAATGGAAATTACAAGTTATTAAAAATCAGAATCTAGGCTGGGAGCAGCAGCACAGACCTGTAATCCCAGCACTCTGGGATGCCAAGGCAGGTGGATCACTTGAATTCAGGAGTTCAAGACCAAACTAAGCAAACTGAGACCCTGTCTCTACTAAAAACAGAAAAAGTAGCTAGACATTGTGGTGGGTTCCTATAGTCCCAGCTACTCAGGAGGCTGAGTTAGGGAAATTGCTTGAACCCAGAAGTTGCAGGTTGCTGTGAGCTAGGCCAAGGTCACAGCACTCTAGCCTGGGGCAACACAGTGAGACTCTACCTCAAAAAAAAAATAAATAAATAAATAATAAAAATAATTTTTTAAAACAATGACCTTGGCACCTGTAGCTCAGTGGCTAGGAGATCGGCCACATACACCACATACACCTGGGCTGGTGGGCTTAAACCCAGCCCTGGCCTGCCAAACAACAATACGACTACAGAAAAAAAAAAATAGATTACAGGTGGGCACCTGTAGTCCCAGCTACTTGGGAGACTGAGGCAAGAGAATCACTTAAGCCTAAGAGTTTGAAGTTGCTATGAGCTGTGACGCCACAGCACTCTACCGAGGGTGACACAGTGAGACTCTGTCTCAAAAAAAAAAAAAAACCAGAATCCATAGTTGGATTTCATTTGGTATAAATCCAACATCTCTGTCTCTAGACATGTTGGCAAGGAAGGTAGGTGTACATTGAAGTGTGAAAACCATTCTATCTGGGTGATAGCATGGTGAAAAAATTTAAATTGTTTCTATTTGTAATTAGTTGTTAATAAACTTGTGGAGGTGGTTAGGGGAAGACCACTCAGGAACCAGGCCAGCTTGGCAGAGCAGACGGATCATCTCCACAGCTGACCTAGTGAAGGAGGAGATACTTACTTGTCCAGCAGGTTCTCCCTGGGAATCCGAACCTTGTCAAATATTAAAATCCCATTATCCACACCTTGCAGACCTAGAGAGAACAGAAAGAGGAAATCGATGAAGCATCAGAATATATTCCCTGCTACTTCCCAGCCCTGTCTCTACTAAAATGCAAAGCTCTTTTTCACTCCCAGAATTGTTGATGCTTTTTTGTTTGGGGAGGGGAGGCGTTGTTTGTGTATTTCCTTGAGGAATCGTGCCTGTTTCTTTGGCCAACTCAGCTCATTCCTCCCAAGTGAGAATGGAGAAGAGCGAGCTTTTCCTCCTGGGCAGCCTGCATGCTCTGGGGATCTGGCAGGGGCACCTGCCTCTGATGTAGCAACTGTGACTGAGGAAGGGAGAGTTCTAAGCAACTCCAAGGATGGGAAGCTAAAGACAGAAGGCAGGAAAGCTGACGTGCTCTCCCCAAGAATACAGAGCTCCAGTCTGTCCTCCCACCCGGTGCTCCCTCTGTAGCACACAGGGTGAACTGATGAAAGCAGATGCCCACCAGACAGGGGGAAATGGCCACGGGGACAGTGGGGGTGGTTCTGAAATCTGCCAGACCCATTTCGTAAAGACACCTGTCAGAGTCTGGGGCCCACTCTTTGTCCACGAACATTTAGGGAGATTTAATCTAAGGGGGAAAAAAATCTGTCTTTAGTAAATGTCCTTCTTTGGAATATCACCCCTTGACAAGGACACACTTGCATTTAGGGGCTTACAAGGACACCAAAGCAGACTTTCTGCTGTTGCCAGAGTTTTCAATGTCTGGCACAACTTCAGAGAGCTCAGCCTACCCTTCTGCTCTCAGCAACACATGACATGAGAAGCACTTTCATGGGGCCAGGCCCAGCCCGGGACTCAGTCACCCCTGGGAGATGCATTTAGCACCCCCCCCCCCAGACCCACCTGCAGCCATAGCCATAGTCAGCAAACACTAGGGGGAAGGGAAGAGATAATCCCCCTCTACCAAACGACAGGCTTCTTCTCCCCTCTTTTCTTCCCACTCTTTTTTCTCTCTTTTTTTTCCTTATCTCCCAGACTCCCTTCTCTGGTGTGGCTTGCCCTTGGCCGAGGATGGCCACTGGAGACCACAGGCATGGTCTAATCTCACTGAGTCTTAGGGCTTAAATTGTACATCTCCCAAATTCATATGCTGAAGTCCTCACCCCTATAACTGTGCATGTGACCTTATTTAGAGACAGAGTCTTTACAGAGGTAATCAAGGTAAAATGAGGTCATTAGTTTGGGCCCTCATCTAAGTCACCAGTGTCCTTGTAAGACAGAGAAATGTGGAGACAGATGTGCAGGCAGGGGGAACACCAGGTTAACGTGCAGGCGTCTGTTTACAAGCCACGGAGGAAATCCTGGGGCAGAGCTTTCCCTCACCACCCTTGGGAAGAATCAACCCTACTAATACCTTAATGTTGGATTTCCCACCTCCAGAACTGTGAGACAATAAATTTTTGTTGTTGGAGCCACCCAGCTAGTGGCAGGGCAGCCCTAGCAAACCAATGCATTGAGTCGATCCTTAGCACTCCTGAAGGGTCTCGCGAGCACAGGCCTCCGGCTGGCAGCCAAGGGGCACAGAAGATAGGACTACAGGGGCCCTCTGAAAGCCCAGAAGACTGAGAAGAGGAGAGAAGACAGACAAAAGGCAAAAGCATTCAGGGCAAAAGGGCAAAACTGCCTCATTACTAGGAAATTTGAGAAGCTGGGAGAAAATGATGAGACCAACGCACCTTCCCAAATGGCAACCTACAACATTCTCTAACAGTAGCACATAAAAGACACTTTCTCACTGAGGCTTCAAAATCAGCATCTTCTCTGGGGAAGTCACAGCATTCACTGTTTCAGTGAGATGAATTCGGTTAGAATCTCCCTGGGTGGGGTGGGGAGCAGGTGGGAAGTGTGAATGAGCCCAGGAGAGGGGCCACCTTCAGACTCACCTTCTTTGTACATCATATCAATAGCTGTCACTCCTGGGTATAAGCTTCCGTTTTCATCCCGGACAGGAACGATGAAACAGTGGGGCCCTAAGGAAGACATAGTGGTCATTATTAAGCTCTCCTTTCTAAAGATATGAATAAGCCTTTCTTCATTTCCTAAAATAGAATAAAATTATTCTGATCCCCAAATTCATTCAGTTCCACAACCGTGCACTACACATAATGGTGTAATGTCAAAATGTAATAATAGACTTCATCAACAAGTATATTTAGGAGACAAAGTTAGTACTAAATTTTCTACAATATAAAAACAGCCCTGCCAAGTGGGTTTCCACTGGAAAACAGTAATAGTGAAGAGAATTATTCTGGTCACCTGTGTCAGTAACAAACCTTGAGATCTTCCATTTATGATGAGCTGGGCAAAGACCGCGGCATAATTCCCGTGCATGGCGTTTCCAATATACATCTTCTTGGCATTTTCACATGGCGTGTCAATTACAAACTCCTGCACAGAAACAGCAAAGCGACAGGGTGTTTCCGTTCCTACGGCTCATTTCAACTTCTTGGCTCAAGGCAACCAACACTTGAAAATAGATCCTCCGGGTGCAAGGCGCCATGTTCAGGTGATTTCACAGCAAAGAGAAGACCAGTGGAAGGTCTGTAGCTCCACCTGGTGAAGCCAGCCCCGCTGTGCTATCACCTCAATGCACATACATCATCTCTACCTCAACTCTGAAAATGAATGAACACTAAAGTGATTTTTCAAAGAAAAATCCAATCAGGGAAGCAAACTGCCACTTTTCAATGGTTGAAAGTGGTCACTCCTTCCTGGTCTCTCTTCTTTAGAATTCCAGGCTGACATGTATGAAGTCTTTCTTCGATTATCAACTTCTTTCTCTCTAGACTACTTTCACACTGAGGCTTTGACTTTTAAATAATCTAACACCAATACTGCTAAAAACCCCTGGTGGTCCATACTCAGCTCTCCACACACCCTTAAACCCCCATACTCCCCACCCGCAAGAGATGTTCCACCAACAAAAGGTGGAACATCCAATGATCTGGGCCCCTAGATGGAACGTTCCAGGGTCCACATCCATCTCTTTTATTTGGGCTGCTACTGTTTGCCCCTCCTGGGCAAATCACTTGGTTCCTCGTGGCCTCTGCTGTTTCCTGGGCCCTGAACATCCCTGCCTCCAACACATGGGTCCGTGGAAACAGCAACCAAGTAACCAAAGGCCAAAACTGGATGCCTGGATGCAAGCAAGACTAATAGGCAACTGTGACCTCTTCCTGCCATTGCTTAGAATATCAAGCAATAACAATTTTGGTTTTTATAAAAAGAAATCAGGCATTTAAGCCTTCAGATGATGGCTTCAGAGCCTGCCTCTTTATATTCCTGATCAGTGAATGTAATAGTTAAGGGTCCTCCCAAGAGGTTCATATGTCAAGCTCTTAAAAGCACTTGTAAATGAGTCTCCATCTTAGGAGGGAAAAATCTCAGAAGATACCAAGTACTTTGTCTCTGAATATCTCCGAGGATTCCAGCTCAAAACAGTCTGAAACTAACACTGGTCACAAAGAAGCAGGAAGAGCAGGCAGGCTTTTTGTTCTCAGTCTCTGTCCATAACGCCTGTTTCCTACTCTCTGGAAGCCAATACGAGGCTCACAGTGGGAACACTCCCCTTCACTTCGTGGTCATCCCCGATCTCACTTGACACCTGGGTTATCTTTAAACCTCTTGCCAAGGAGGGACTGACCATACTCCCAGCTCTGGATACAGGGTACCCAGGACAACTTAGGGAGCCCAGGGGAAATGGCAGAGTTGAACTACAAATTTAATCATAGTTGACACTGTTGAAGATGTGGGTGAACTAAACCAACAAGCTATTGATCACACAAAGATTATCTCAGATTTCAGACTATAAAGCATATGGACAATACTTTTCCTCTGGCCAAAAAATACAGTCTTGAGGCCTAAGAAAACATTCTCTGACATATGTTTGCACAGAGAAACTTTTAACATGTGCAAGGGCTGTTCAGAAACATAAATGGGCAGACTGAACCTTTTTAAGAGGAGTCTCTAGAGGCTGTCCTTGTCTTATCGAGCCAGCCAGGACTTCTCAAAGAAAAGAAAAGAATTCCTTGAGGTTAGGTACAGTAAAAGACACCAGGGTTGCCACAACCCATGTGGATAGGGGAAAGCTTACACCTGGAGGCAGAAGGTGGAGAGAAGGAAGGAAAGTAGCTGAGGAAACCCTGGCCTGGCAGAAAAGATCTGCTAGGATAGGGAGGGCGCAGGAAGCCATCCATCCCCTGTAAACATCTGCTACACCCTGGGAAAGGAGATCTGTCACTTCTGGCAAAATACTTGATTTGGAAAGTTTGCATCAGCCAAAAACCTGGAGTTAAAGCTCACTCTAAATACCACACACCATGTGTGTCAGTTACTAGAATAATTATTTGTTGGAGGCCAGCAAAATCGTCAGTGCTGTAAGTGCTAAAGAAGATGACTTTGGCCAGAGAGCTCATAACTTCATTTATTTTTGCTATTTAGCATAAAGGGTAATCATGAAACTCTCTCTTCCCCCTGAACTACCCGTAACACTACCCAATCTACCCACCCCACCCCCCAAATAAATATAAAACAACCAACCTACGGGAAGGAATAACCAAGAAAAGACAAGAGATTCAAACAGTCCTTGAGGGAGAGAACACTCATTTAATACTCGCTAACATTTTAAAAGGGAAATGAAGGGGAAAACACAGAACCCAATGAAGGAAGAAATCCATCCCCTGCTATGTCAATTCTCCGCGGTGTGAGTTTATGATGGGCTTGTTCTCTCTCCCACCCTCGGGGGGCACAGTGCTCACCGGAGGCTCCCCGTCATTACGATTTCAACTTTGCAACTCCCCTGTCAGACAGTGGCAGCTGCTGAGAAACGCCAGGTAGCTAAATCATTTATGCTGTTTGGGGAAAAGGGGACCAACACAGGAAATTATTTTTGTAGGAAAAAAATAATTGTGAGAAGAAACAAATAAATAAGAATTGCAGGTGGTTCCCCCCTCCCCGTCAATGACAGCAAGGTGACCTCAATACTATGGCGCAGGGAGAAAAATAACCAGCCAGTCCCAATCCGAAGGATGTTAGGCCAGCATGGCATCACTAGCAGGAAAGCCACACTGCTAAGTAAACAGTAACAACTGAACATAAGACTGGTTTATTAACTGGGTAACCAGAGTCAGTGTTTTAACCTCAGTGAGCCTCAGTTTCCCCATCTGTAAAGTAGAGACAATAATACCTTTCTAATATGTTCTAAGATTATAGCACATTTGACACAATGTTGCATGCAGAGGGCTTAACCTAGTGCCTAATCCATCTGTGCTCAGTTAACAGGAAAGGCTCAAAGTCATGTTTATGGGATTGTCCCTGGGAGGAAATACAGAATACTACATGGGTTTGACACAGAGCATGGCACACAGTGAGTAGTCAATAAACAGCAGTGCTTGTTCTTGTTCTCACCATGACCTTGGACATCATTGGCTGCTGCAGAGAACTAATATCAGAACCACAGGGAAAGCAGAGCATCTTCTCATACAACCTCCCCCTGAATCTTTCATTCTAGACTCTGGTCACCTCCACCTAGCATTAGTGGATCAGGAGGCCCTGCTAATGACAATCAGACTCTACAGGCCTAACTCGGGGGAAAAAGACAGACGGAGCAGCCCCATGTCCACGCCACACCCACGCCCACACCCAGCTCATGCTTACACACACTGACTTACAAAGCCTCATTTCTAGAAAGAACTTCACAATGCGTTTATCCCTTTGTCATGCTTAGGAAGACCCAGTTTCAAGCTAGAAACTATAAAGGACAGTGACATAAGTAAACAGTGGCTTCTTTGGTCAGGAGAGCATGGGAGCAGTCAGGGTTACAGAGTGTTCACGATGCAGGTTGAGACCCATCACGGGAGAGAGATCAATTCTGAGAGACTTGACTAACATTCTGTCAATTAGTAAGAAGAAAATGAAAGAAAAACAGAAAAAAAAAGAAAGAGAGGAGAAGAAGAAAACAAGGAAAGGAAAAGAAAAAACATCAGAAAAAGGAAAATAAAATAGTAAGATTGGTGAAGCTCTCCTCTCATGTAGAAGGTCAGTGCAGGTTACCATGCACAATGAAATGGCTTTAGCATAGTTCTCATGGAGTTATGACAAGGGATTAAGTTAACAAGCACACGCAGTGTGCTTGGAGCCATGCCCAGCACGTCATAGGTTGGTGCTGGATTCACAAGGGCTGGGCATACATCCACCTGGACTAGAACACCTAGACGTTTGCTCTGCATCTGAGCCCCTGGGCCAGAGAGCACACCCAGAGGGTATGATGCTGGAGAGGGACAGCCTGGTTCTGTGCAGGTTTCCTGCGGCCCTGAACAGTAGGCCAAAGGCGGACTCCTCACCTGTGCAGAGCGGTCAAAAGTGGCTTCCGTCTGGATCCCTCTCACGTTGCTCCCATGGCCCCTCTCGGTCATTGCAAACATCCCAGTGTATTTCTGCTCCTGGAGTTTACCAGATATTAGAAAGGGAATTAGCTGGTCAGATGGGGGCTCTAACCACAGAGCTCTCAGCCCTTTAAGAATGGCAGTGAGAGAGGGACATGTGAACTGGAGATAATTATAAAAAATTCAGTCTGATGACAAGCTCATGCAGGCTTACAACATGACAAACATACACAATAAAAAAAAATGATAGTCTTGGAATTCTCATCATGTATGAGACTTTGGCAAACACAAATTATCTTTTATTTTCTTTTTCTTAAAACACACACACATACATCTAACTACTGAGGATTTTTAAGGCTCTCCATAGAAGGCATCTATTGAGGCCCAGGCCATACCTGGAGTGGCTGAAACCACTTAGTAATATGTCTGGGGCTTCCGAGATTCCTGACAGCACCACCAAACAGCCAGTAAATTATTCCGCACTAGAAACAAGGACAATACAAACCATCGTTAGCAAGAGCCAACAACTAAATGATAAATCACTGGCCACACTCCATTCAAGGAGCATCTATTTGGCTCCCTAAGCTTTGCCTAAGTCCCACCAGTGGCAAGCTTCCTCTTTCTCTCCCTCTACCAGTTGCAAGCTCCACCGCCTCTCTGCAGACAAGGATGGTGGGTCACTGCCTCCGAGAGGCCAACCTAACTTCCTCAGCAAGTGAGTCCTCCATGCTCAGGGCCACCCCACCCCCACCCCATCAAACAACTGCTCTGAGCCCGCACTCTGCCCTGTCCAGATCTAGCTCCGGACAGGGAATGCAGGCGGCTTGCAGCAAAGTGTGTGTGCTGTGACCCCAGACGCTGGCCCATCTGCCAGGGGAGCCCCACCATGGGAAGCAGCCGGCAAA